AATGGGGGACCTGATGCGCTAAAGAATGTAACCAGAACACCTAAGTTTGAGCATATCAGCCTAAACGTTGTATGTAAAAACTCTCATGTCTACAAATCACGCCTGTTGTCCACGGTAACAGGAGCGATCAACTTGGGCGGTCAGAGATTACCACTCAGCGGATGTTGTTGGATTGCGGAGATACGATCTATGTATCAAAACACTGGGTCGAAAAACATCAACTCCAGACGACGAGGTTCAACAATGACCAGAAAAGGGGGATTTATTGGACGCGATGTCTGTAGTGTACAGGTTCTCCACGACGGACGTGTTGTCAGTGTACTACCAAGTGTGTACGTGAGAGGAAGTCATCAGGTTCACACCATTTCAAGATCCAAATGTACTTTCGGAGAATCTTATCTACCAATAGGAGTCTGTAACGCGCCAGCTACGATGCATCGGTTATCGTCATAACGCTTCCGATGCTCGAAGGATACAAAGTCGTTTTATGACGACATCTACATCTTCACGAAGTCACAAAACATCGAAGACCACCTTGAGTGTCATTACCTAAGACCCTGGATATCTTGCGAAACAACAAAGCCTATCTCAAGTTGTCCAAGCGTTCCTTCTACTCTGAATATAGCCCCTGCCTCGATTGCTTCGTAGGACGTAACGGTACCCGACACCCATCAAAGCCTGGCCAGTGTCAAGCGCAAACGTAGGATCAAATTCCTTTCGAGTGGGTGGGCGAAAAAAAGCCTACATGGGTACCGATCAAGAATCTTAGGCAAGTACTGGACTTGATCTCAAGTTTCGAAGACCAAGAGACGATGAAAACCTCGAAATCGATACAGGGGGCTCAAGACCACCTGATTTCGCTATTTGCGGCTAAGTTTCGAAATCTTGCTCGCTTTCTTCTTCTTCTTCTGCTTACGCAGACGCTGGGGGTGAGGAAATCCAACTCAGGTCAGAGTGGACAAGTTTGCGCGCCACCCCAGGATAGACAGCGGCTCTAGCGTAATCGGTGGTTTTAGTATCTTACCGTATTCATTGTAGGTCATAACTGGATCACTTTGGCCCCGAAGGACCTGAGTGAAACAGGGTTCAATGACGTCTGCAGTCGCATGTACGAAGTAGTATCCAGGGGCAAGAATTTGAACGGCTTTATCCATGAAGGCTGTCGACAACAGCGACTTGCCTTGAACAGCTTGACGTAATCGAGAGGTACCCTCGGCACGGATGAAGTTGAAGAACGCGTCGATATCTCAAGCCAGAACGCCAAACGGGAAATTCTGACCTTGTTGATGGAAGAAGAGCTCCCAGAGATCACGATCAACCATGTCGGGGGACCCAAGCCGTAATATGCCTCCTGGAAGGCATACAAGAAGCAGATATTCTCCTCTAACTCGCTTGCACCCCAAATATGACTGGCGAAGTACCAATTGAAAGCGAGGTCCGCGCCGCTTGCTTTTCACCGGTTGGCTTGGTTCATGCACAAGTACACGTGCTTAAAGCTCTCTTGTCATTCCCAGTTCGACTAGCATGGGGGTAGTTTCACTCGACGAGATACGAGACGTACGTTAGCTCTTCCTGGCGGTCGATCAGCTTCCACATAGCGAACAGAGTCTCCGTATCTACAAGCATTTCAGGGTTGAAATGTTTGTAGATACGGCGTTCACGCGGGAATGGCAACGGAGGACGCTCGGTGACCATTAACGTAGCTCGAATCAAGTTGACGGCGGCGTATGGGTCTTTCCTGTCATTCTCGGCGTCGGACGCCGACGACGTTGCAGGAGAAGACGCTTCTGGGCTACCTTCCGTCCATTGTGTATTTAATTTGCTACATTTGGATTTTACACATTGAGAGGTACGATATTTATACGCATAGGACATTCTATACGATCTGGTCGTTCCGGCCTTCCTCGCGTGCTTTTCCCAATAGTCGCAAGCGAATAATCTGTATACAACTGCTCCATCAGCTTTCGGCTCAAGTTGCTTTTTGGTGACATTGAACCTGGCTCGGAATCCACTCATGAATAAATAACAAAGTCTGCTTCTACATCAGACTCGTGCCCACTCTCGTGAGGCGGCGGAATACTAATATGTACGACCCGAGATGAATATGCAGGAATCCTATCGCCTCCTCACACGATCTACTCTTTGATTTCAATCAGATTCATGTCAATGACAGTAGAGCGGGAGGAGCTGTCCAGGATGGGGGTGAGCTACGATCCGTTGCAATGAAGTTACTGGCCTATGATGAAATGTGAGTTGTTAAGTATCACATTTGCTCGTAGAGCAACAAAATAGAACAACGAGAAATGGATCACTTTCAAATCTACGAGCATCGACCGAGGAGCACTGGGTTCAAAATTGACCTAACAGTGGAGGGCACTATTCCGGACACTTTCCGAAATACGTCGCACAAAATAGGCCTAGACTAAAACACAAAACACAATTGAATTAATTACACAAAGAGAAAACGCGCTCACCTCATTGAGGGCGGGATCCGGTAGTTCGTTGTTTCCAATGAGTTCGCTGTCGTGTCTGCACTATGTTAAGCCGACAGTGAATTCGGTGTTGTAGATTTTCCCTATCCTGAATCACCGCGGCTCATTGCGGGGCATACACATGTTGGGTATGTTCCAGCCACCATTGGTCACCGTCAGCATCCAACTTCTTTGGACAACTACTTGAATAATTTTGGCAATGTTATCTGTTGTTAGGATATCTACTCTACTGAAATATCGTTTCAATGTGCTGAACGCTAGCGCAAGAACATGCCTGCATTCCACAGCCTTAAAAATTCCCTGTCCTGCATCCCCGCCACGTCGTCCTCCTCATCGTCCGTGAGCATCAGATCGTCATCGACCAGCTCCTGTAAATATGGATGCTTATCCGTGAGCGCAGCCACGTCCCAGTAGCCACGTCTTGCCAAATACTCGACGAAGCCCAACTTACCCATGCAGTCGCTCTTGCGGTTAACTACCAGCCACTTGGCCACACGTGCATGACCCGCATTTAAGGCGTTCACCACGGCAGACTGCGAACATCCCTCGTCTCTATAAAAATGTAGCCATTGAATCACGTCCAAGTGACCATACGTGGCCGCATTATCGATCGCGTAGTGTGTGGCGCCCTCCTTCCTGTTGGAATGCAACCACTGTACCACCTTCAAGTGGCCGTGCTGTGCCGCAAAGTCCATGGCGTTGCTGGTACAGCCCTCGTTCCTGTTCTCGTGGAGCCACTGTACAATTTCTAAATGTCCGTTAGAGGCGGCCATGTCCATGGCGTCCGTCGTACAGCCCTCTTCACGGTGTTTGTGTAACCATTTCACCACAGTCAAGTGTCCGAATTCGGCCGCCGAGTCCATAGCCTCTCGACAGCAGCGCTGGAACTTATTGGGATAGCGCCGACTCAAGCGCTGCACCAAGTACAGGTGGCCTGCTAATGCGGCGCGCATTAAGTTCCACTTGGGTGACAGATCTAGGAAACCATTCACATGCTCCAGTACGAGGTCATTGGCGGCGTCGAAGCGCTCACACACGGCCATGACGGCTGGCGAGATGTCCGTAGCTGTGGCCGGCATGGGTTAATAGTGCTGCAAGTGGGCCTGACGTCTCAGATCGAGGAATGACCGCTGGGTAGTTACCCTCGTGAACCGGCATCGGCCGTACAGTTACTTACGTCCCCATCCAAAAAATGGCTGCTTCGATGAAATTTGCGGCTGTTTTATGGTTCTCCTGCTGTTTCTTCTTGACTTTATTTCGAGGCCCAA